AATGTGCACTGACCACCAGGGGGCAGACGCTCAATGTAGGAGCTGTCCCCTGGTGGTCAGTGCACTAGAAGCTAGGCTCATGGCTGGTGAGTGCAGTGGTGGCAGCAATAAGGATGTTTGACTGACAGCTTAATTTCACTTTCCACACTGCCTAAGTCATCAGTCAGATATCCCCCAAGGGTTCCCAGTCTGCTAAAGGTGCAAGCTGGGCTGAGGAACCCTCCTCTCCCAAGTGCATGAATGTCATGCACCAGGCCTAGTTTATCTATAGTGGCTCATTTTATACTCACATTAACACTATGAAGTAGGTACTATCATTATCCACATTTTACAGGTAATGAAACAGAGACTAAGAGAGGTTAAGTAACTTGTTCAGGGTCACACAATTAAGATGGGATAGAGCTTGGATTTGAACCCAGGCTGTGTGGCTCTAGAATATATGCTCCTAACTGTGTATCACATTAGTGACCCCGGCTCCCCCACACCCAAATAAATTTGGACATACCTCAGATTAGTGATGCAATTACATGAAGCTGATAATATATAATTCAGTGGTTCTCAACCTTTCTAATGCCATGACCCTTTAATACAGTTCCTCATGTTGTGATGACCTCCAACCATAAAATTATTTTCATTGCTCTTCATAACTGTAATTTTGTTACTGTTATGAATTATAATGTAAATATCTGTGTTTTCTTATGGTCTTAGGTGACCCAGCTAGCAGTTCTCAACCTGTGGGCCAATTAGATTCTAATTGAAGGCTAGCTGATAAATAAATAGAAGACATCTAAATGTCAGTTCTCAAGTCTTTTTTTTTTTTTTTTTTTTTTTTTTTTTCATTTTCATCTTAGTAGCAAAATATCTTCCCAGAAGGACAAAACCCCAGAAGTGAAAACTATGTCATCACTCTGGGAAATCTCAACCCAGAAACTGCACATGAACTTATAACTTCTAAGCAATTTTCATCTAGGCCTTAGGTTTCCTAACTTCCTCCTTCTCCCCACGCTCCCCACGAAGGCCCTCCCCGCTGCCTTACAACCTGCTTTTCCTCCTGGGTAATCCCTCACTACACATTCCAACCTGTTTCCTGTTTACTGGAACACTGGGAGATTAGAGAGCTTTTTCACCTCCTTTTTGTAGACTCTAGGAAAGCTTGGTTTGGACCAGGATTTGAGGTTGGAACAGAAGGTGTTTTGTATACTGATTTTAAAGTAGTTTCTAAACTACTCTATTCAGCTATGAAAGCATGGTCAGGATTCCTTAGTTACTGTTTTTCCAAACAAATTAAATTCATATGTAATGGCTATTATATTAGTATCTAATAATTATGCTTAAAAACAAGCATGCCAAAAAATCACACACACACACACACACACACACACACACACACACACACACCTCCGCCCCATCTTGCCTGTGCAATTGGGATCTCCTGAGCAGTTTCCAAAAAAAATTTTCTCATTTGGGTTTCATGTCCAGTGTTTCTAATTTAGTTGATCTGAGGTATAGCCTGGGCACTTGGAGTTTTAGATGCCACCAGAGGATCCAGTGAACAGCTGAAGTTGACAAACAAACTGTATCCAGAGCAGGCTTTCTCAACGTTGGCACTATGGACACTCAACTATAGTAGAATGAATTATTCCAGATCCTTCCATTGTAGAATGTTTACCTGCATCTCTAGACTTTACCTATTAGATGCTAGTAGCACCCTCCCCAGTTGTGACAACCAAAAATGTCTCTAGACTTTGCCAGATGTCAGTGTGGGGGATGCAAAGTCCTCCATGTTGAGAACCATTGGTCTACTCTACAGCCATTACTAGTATCCTGAAATCTCTCAAAAAGAAAAAAGAGAAGGATGGCTTCTATCGCATCCTCTTCAACAGGAAAATATATGAAGACTAGAGGCCTGGTGCACGACATTTGTGCACAAGAGGGTGCAAGCTCCACCCAGCTTGCACCCTCTTGCAGTCTGGGACCCCTCAGGGGATGTCTGCCTGCTGACTTAGGCCCGCTTTGGCAGGAGGACATCCCCTGAGGGGTCCTTAGCCCTGTGCTCTCCAGCTGTGAGCCTGGCTTCTGGCTGAACACAATGACCACCAGGGAGCAGCTCCTGTGTTGAGCATCTGACCCCTGGTGGTCAGTGCACATCATAGCGACCAGTTGTTCTGCAGTTCAGTCGATTTGCATATCAGGGTTTTTATTATATAGGATGCTAAGGGATCTGGCAGAAACCATCCTTCCCTAGGAGGAAACCTAACCAGGGTGCCTTTTTATAAAATATATTCTATTTCTAAGCAAAAGATAATGTTTCTTGGGGAGCCTAGTAGGAGAAGGTCCAGTAAGTCCTCACTGAATGTTGTCAATAGGTTCTGTGCCTTGAAGTGAAACAACAAATAATGAAATGAATGTTACCAGAGGCTCACTGATCAAACAAAAGTTAGGTTCCTGTGGCATCTCATCGCTATAATGAAACAGTAAACGGAACGATGACATTTGAAAACAGGGAATTAAGGAAACGGTACAGATCTTTCTAGCTGATCTAAAGCACAACAGGAGAAAACTAAATCTTTTTTTAATTAGTGTGAACAGCCTGGCTTGGGTGAAATTTTGTCTCCAGCTGACGAGCTGCTGCCAGCAACGGGGAGAAAGTACACGGGCTTTGATGCTAAATGGATGCAAACCCAGAACGTTGCCTTAGCTCTAGGAAGGCTTTGATGCAATTCTAGGAAGTTGATAATATCTAATTGAAGGCTAGAAGACAAATGCACCTAGGTATATATAAAGGTAGGGTTAGATAGAGCTCGTTATGAAAAGGCTGAGTTTGGGAATAAAATATTTTAGTGGTTGTCCTAGTTTGGGTTATTTGGGAGATGAGCCCAGGGAGCATGGGGAAGTGGGAGGGAAGGAAGCAAATAGGGGCTGATGATCAGAATTGCCACCATAGACACATGTAGCAACATTAAGTTCTCACTGAACATTTTGGAATTCATCAATTTTGGTCTCTGCTGCAACCTTATTGGTCCAGGACAATGTTGCCTTTTTCCTGCACCATCACAATGGTCACTTCTGGGTGCCCCACACCCACTTTTCTTTCAGTTCCTTAACCCACAAGGCCTTCTTTTCTTAGAATGCTCCTCCTCCTGACCCCACTCCAGCCCAACCCTCCCCTTTCCTATCCTTTAGGTCTTGTTCCTTCCTATCCTTTAGGTCTGGCTAAATGTCACTCCTTCATTGAAGACTTTCCTCTCTTAAGAAAGATCTCCCCATCCCAGCTGTTACTCCCAACTCAGTTCCTGTTTGTTTTCCTCTTGGCATGTTTCACAGCTTGTATTTATGTTATTTCATCGGTCTCCCTCTCTAGAACGTAACCTCTGTAAGGGTAAGGGACATGTCTATCTGCTTGACCACCATATCCCTCACCCAGTTGCGAGATTGAACAAATAAAAATACAGCCTTCCCAGTGAAATTTAAAATTCAGATAAATCCTGAATAATTTTTTTTTTTTTTTAGTACAAGTATGTCCAAAGCACATATTCAATTACTCAGGGTTTCCTTGAAATTCCAGTTTAACTGGGCGTCTTGCATTTTATCTGGCAACCCTCGTTCCCAGACCCTGACACATGGCTGACTCTCACTGCACATCGCTGGACAAAAATCTGGTAGCAGCATATGAACACTGCTACTATGGCAACAAAGTGGGGGAAATGTGCTAAAACGACAGAACTAAATGCCACTTCCCATTCCTTTCTGTTCTGATGTGCCTGTCTCCTCATTCCAGGAGAATCTAATCAACTCAAAGTTCCAGGCAGCCCAGCACTTGGGGAGGGGGGGTGGCTGCTGGCCCTGGGAAGGGAGCTGTTAGGAGCAGCTTTCCCACACAGCATTACCTGCTTTGCTGTGGTTTGAGCACAGCGGCCCTTTATCATTTTCAACCCAGAGCTTCCCAGACTATGAACTCACTTATTCTTTTTCAATCACTCATCCCTAGCGTCTCACTCCGTAGCTGGCACATAGTAAGGACTCAGAGCATGGTTAGCAAATGGGCTGGTAGGTGAGTGAATAGTAGGGTGACTAACTGTCCTCCTTGGACCAAGGCTGAGGGGTTTTCTGGGGTGTGGGGCTTTCATTGTGAAAATCAGGGAAGTTGGAACCTTCAGTGAACAATGCTCACTCTCAGTGGCTGTGCTTCTTGTCCATTATCACCGTACTGTAAGGTGACCAGATCGTCCAGGTGTTGGTGGGACAATCCTGATTTCTTACAATTCTTCCCGTGTCCTGTGGTGTTTTAAAAAAGTCCCGATTTTTGGAAAGAATCTTTCCAATGTTTCCAATCTTTCCAAAAATCGGGACTTTTTTAAAACACCACGGGACGCAGGAAAAATTGTTAGAAATCAGGACTGTCCCGCCAATACCTGGACGATCTGGTCTCCTTACTGTACTGGCTGCTATGTGACTAAGATTAGACAGTGGCTGCCCTAGCTGCCCATTTGTTTAAGGATGACACTGGATGCTTAAAGCTCTGATGACCCTCTTTGCTTCCCTATACCTGAGCTGACTCCTGGGACCTTGGCCTTGGCTTCAGCCTGAACTCTTGGTCCTTATGTTGGTCCTTATGAACTCCTGCCCTTCCTTGTGACTTGGTCTTGTGGTCTGTGGCAGATGCCCTGGACTCGTGCTTCTGGAATAAAGGGTCTCAGGCTAAGTGCATGCGAAGGGTTCTCAGTCAATGGTGGGGACTCCAGTGCTGGCCGCCACAGGTCTGCTCCATCAAGTGCTGATTGGGACCAATTGCGACTTCCACACAACACCAGGAAGTATTTATTGAGTAATTAAGCTGACAGCCACAGGACTTCCCAAATACATTTCTACCAATGCGTCAGTCACTTGACTATCAACATGTGCGTTCTCATTTGAATCCACCCCCTCACCCAACACTGCCGGAAGTCACCAGACTCTAAGGGAGACAAATCCATTCTCAACTAGGCAGCAACACTCCAGTCTCACTTAGGTCCTGCTGGGCTCCTGGAATTGGGGGTAAAGTGGCTCTTGAGAGGCTCCCAGCACTTGTAGTAGTTGTCATCCAAACAGTGAGAGGTCTTGAGCCCCCACTTGGTGACGGCCATGCTTAGAGAAGACTCAAACATAAATGCCTGTAGGAAATGACGAGAAAGAAGAGATGAGGTGGATAACAAAACACATTATACTATAGATGTCAAGAGACAAGGGGTGAGTAGGCAGAAGCTCTGAATAATAAGTCTCGTATGCTAGCACGGGGTGGAGAGCAGGCACAGGCCCTGGCTTCTGGCTCTGACCCTACCATCTTAAGTGGGTGGTACCTTACGGAAAGAAGGCTTCAAACTTCTCAGGGCATCCAGTTTCACTCTAAAAAGTGAAATTGGACACCTAAGCCTCACATTGTCCTTGTAGCGTTAATGAGCTAGATTTGCTAGACCTTAGGGCAGCGGAGGGAGAGTCCTAGGAATATTCACCCACTCAGAGGCGGTCACTGACTGTGGCTATGTCTGTGTGAGGGAGGCCACACTCCCCATTTTGCAGAGGTGGACACTAAGGCTCAGTGGACCGGATGAGATCATGTGGCAGTGCCTTACACGGTATAAAGCACTCTTCAGATATGAGGGTTGTTATCAAGGCCATTATTATTGTTGTCTCTTGGCTGACTGCTTCTTAGGAGCCTTGCTGTCTTCCTGGAGTAATAAAACCCCAGCCCCACTGAGCTATGAAGACAGTATTGTATAAAGTTAATTTATTCCAAACTGGAATAAGGATGAGGCATATAGATGGGCCTGGTTCCAAATTATACCGTGAGAAATAGTGAGGGAGGCCCAAAGTTAGGTCTAGATAAGGTGTTGGGCCCTCTCCCATCAGGTAGGCTGGGCATCCTGGCTACCCAGGCCTCCCAGCTCCTGTGGCCCCCCAAAAGGAGAGCACTTTCTCATCTGTGCTCTGAGCCCTAGCCATGCTCTCACAAAAGCAACCCTGTCCCAGGCCTCACCCTTGCAGAACACCGCTCCCTGGTAACACTGACTACCCCAACGTTTATTGAATGGCAACTCTGGAGTAGCCAGTGCACCTCCAGGAGCCTTCAGAGGCAAAAGCTTAACTGATATTCTCAGACCCATGCCCCATAGAGAAGCAGGGGGGTACAAAATCTCTACGGAGGCCCTTACAAGGGGCAGCAGAGCTGAGGTCAAGCAGACGAGAATCTTCTCAACCTCCCCCTGCAGACCAGCTGCACCAACTCAGGCCCCGGGATGGAGACCAAAAGCAAACTTCCCTGGGCAGAGGGACAGATAAAGCTCCCTGGTTAGGTAGTTTGCAAATTGGGCATGGAGTCCGGTGGGTCTGTGCTGTTGATTTTATTAAATATATTTTATTGATTTTGTACAGAGTGGAAGTGAGAGAGATAGAGAGTTAGAAACATCGATGAGAGAGAGTCATCGATCAGCTGCCTCTTGCACACCCCCTACCGGGGATATGCCCGCAACTAAGGTACATGCCCTTGACCGGAATCGAACCCGGGTCCCTTCAGTCCCCAAGCCGACGCTCTTTCCATTGAGCCAAACCGGTCTCGGCTGTGCTGTTGATTTTAAAAGCCAGGTAGCATCGCAAGCATTTGTTGAAAACGACAATGCAAATTTGCATGCGATTTAGCATAAAATTACTCCTTGTGGTTCATAAACTCTACCTCCAAGATGCAAAAAATAAAATAAAATCAAGAACCGCAGCCGTCTGCAATTGTGTTCAGCCTCAATGTTTACAGCCGGACTCAAGAGGAATACAAAACAGGTTTTAAATCCCATCAGTTTCATCCCATGCCAAAGGAGAGCAAAAGAAAATGAGAAAACAGCAGAGAAGTGCTGTTCACAGTCCTGAGTCTCCTTGGCTTGAGAACCTGGCTGAAGGTGACATCTGCATCGTCTGCTAGCTGCTGTGGCCCCAGAGGAACACTTCAAAAGCAGGAGGTGATTCTGAGACAAGCACATATACACGGCGATGCATGCAGATAAGGGAAGATCCTTCCCACAGTATTAAATATACACCCTGACATTTGAACAGTGTTAGACAGTCTTTAAAGTTAAATTATAACCACCTGCTGGGTTGGATACCATACCCATTCTATAGATGGGGGAAATGAGGCAGAGAAGTGAAGTGGCTTACTCAAGGTCACACAGGAACTAAGAGCTAGGATATGAACCACGGCCTGGCCCTAAGTCCAAAGTTCTTTCTACCCTCACTACATGGGGAATCTAGTACACACACAGCAGGTTGCATCCATACGCACATGGGAAAGGCACACAGACACACACTCTCTGCTCCTGATTCCTTCTCTGTGATTTTGGAGAAAAAAAAAAAATAGACATTTCTCTCAACAAGACTGGGGAGTCCAGAGACAACCAGGGCTTGGCAGTTAACTTGCTTACCATGGTGCCATCAGCAATCCTCTCAGGCACCAACTTGGCTTTGCTGGCCTTCTCAAAGCACTCGGCATCAGGCCCGTGGGGAGTCATGGTGCTGTGCAGGCTGCCTCCTCCTGGCAGGAACCCACCTTCCTTTGCCTCATAATGACCTTTGATGAGCCCCATGAATTCACTCATGCAGTTCCCTGGGAAGGTGGAAGCAGCATTATTTTTATTATCCAAAGCAGACCCATAAACATTAAGAACCTTCAAACATTATTTCCGCAGAATGACAAGAAGATTGAAGAATCTGATACATTTTATAAGATCAATAAAGAATACAGATTGACAAAGGAACAAATTCTTGGTAGGCAGAGCCCCACTCCCTCCTGGCCATGTGGATTTACGGAGATCTTGTATTCCACCGCCTGAAAGAGAGTAGACTAGATCTAAAGAAAAGCAGAGCCCAGACAAGAACTCTCATAATAATTAAAATGTACATTGTAATAAAAAGAGGATGTACTCTTTTGTTTACGCTTCCAAGCCTCATATCAAAATTATCTTCTTTTGCCGAAACCGGTTTGGCTCAGTGGATAGAGCGTCTGCCTGTGGATTGAAAGATCCCAGGTTCAATTCCAGTCAAGGGCATGTACCTTGGTTGCGGGCACATGCCCAATAGGGGGTGTGCAAGAGCCAGCTGATCAATGATTCTCTCTCATTGATGTTTCTAACTCTCTATTCCTCTCTTCCTCTTTGTAAAAAATCAATAAAATATATTTTTAAAAAATTATCTTCTTTTAGGATCTGGGTTGCTTTCCAAATAACCCCACAGTAACACATATTTCACCATATTTCTAGTTCCCAATCTAGAACACTGAAGTGGAGTGTGTGTGTGTGTGTGTGTGTGTGTGTGTGTGTGTGTGTGTGTGGAATGGTGATGCAATAGAAAGAACTCTGGACTTAGATTTCGTTATCAAATGATAACTGCTGAAAGCCAATGACAGCATTTCAACAGAGATGAATCATCTGGAAATGGCTGAGGGCATGTCCTCAAGCCTGAAAAGGTGGAATGGATGATTGCTTGCTGCCAGACAGCTAAAGGCATCTTAATCTACTTGTTATTGCCTCCTGCAGGCCAAAACACCTGAATAGCCAAAGGCAGTTTCTCCCAAACCTGATACTCAGACAATAGATTCTGTGTACTAAACCCTTGCCTTTGAAGTGTATATCTACTTTGCCTTAGGACAAATTGTGTTAATACAAAAGCAAGGGGTCCTGAGACAAGAAGAACTTGGTTTCTTTAGCCAAGCTTCTCTGGCTCCTCATAATACCTTCCAAAATTATGTTTTGGAAATAAGAGTCACTGGCTTATTTAATTTACACACAGCACCTTCTCCAGATTTCTGAACCCTTCTAGATGCTGGGTCAAGTCCCCTGGCATTAAGATAACCTGTGTAAAAGGATCTTAGTATTTGTAAAACCCAGTCCATAAATTCTATATTATAACAAATGTTATCTTCTATATCTTTTTTTTAAATATATATATTTTATTGATTTTGTACAGAGAGGAAGGGAGAGAGATACAGAGTTAGAAACATCGATGAGAGAGAGTCATCGATCAGCTGCCTCTTGCACACCCCCTACTGGGGATATGCCCACAACCAAGGTACATGCCCTTGACCGGAATCGAACCCCGGGACCTTTCAGTCCCCAAGCCGACACTCTATCCACTGAGCCAAACCGGTTTCGGCTATCTTCTATATCTTAACCTGATATAATCTTATTCTTTCAATCTTAAAAATGGCTGTTAGATTCATCCTTTTCTATTTCCATTGACATTATCCTCATAGAATTCTAAAATCTTACAATTGAAAGGGATCCTTACTTATACTCAATACAGAAGAATTTTCTATATCATTCCCAACAGATGGTGTCCTGTGCTCAGCTTGCATGCCTCCTGTGAATTGAAGCTCTCTACTCAACAAAGCTACTGAGCTCTAAACTACCTGCGTGCTCTACTCAACAAAGCTGAGAGTGTTAAAAACTTCTTTCTTGTTAAATGAAACTTTGCTTTCACATAAATTAAACACACTGGTCCTAGTTGTGTTTTCTGAAGTCACACAAAATTTGACAAAAACAACCATATTCCCACTCTTTCAAAAGTAGGTTTTGATTGAAATTAAGCTTTTTATTAGGATGGCAACACATTTAGCGCAAGAATTAAATAAATATAACATCTGAGTAAATTTACGTGCATTTCCATTCATCTACCCATTCATCCATTCATCTGTCCATGTCTCACCCATTCCACCTGTCTATCCACCCATCCAATATATACAATTGGACATTGTGTTAAGTACTGATGGAAATGAATAAGAAATAGCCTGTTTAAAATTACTCACAGTCTGTCCCAAGAGAGTGCTAAGAGTACAAACGATGAATAGAGTAGAGAGATATGGCAGTGACAACTCTTGCACAGCCAAACATTTGACATTATAAATGCCCAACCCCTCTTCCTTGCATGTGGAGTGTAACCAAGTGCCAGAATAATTCTGTAATTGACTGAGCAGTCATACCCTCCCTGGCCAGATTACACAGTGCTGCTACTGGCCCTACAGAAAAGGTAAGACCCAGGTCATGGCTCCATTTGTTTTTTCATGAAGTGAAAATAGAGGAAAAGATGTGACTGTAAGCATAAAGTCTTTAAGCTTTTTTTTAAAAAAAATACATTTTATTGATTTTTTTCACAGAGAGAAAGGGAGAGGGAGAGATATAGTTAGAAACATCGATGAGAGAGAATCATCAACCAGCTGCCTCCTGCACACCCTCTACTGGGGATGTGCCTGCAACCAATGTACATGCCCTTGACCAGAATTGAACCTGGGACTTTTCAGTCCGCAGACCGACGCTCTATCCACTGAGCCAAACTGGTTTCAGCTCTTTAAGCTCTTTAAAAGCAGTTCTGTTCGTGATTTAGATATATTGTCACTCCTCACTCCACTGTGTATACTCAGGGTCACCTTCACAGCCTAATTTTAAGAAGAGAGCAAGACGGAATTCAGCTTTGATCTGAATATTAATGTAGGTAGCAATGAGTTTGGTGATGACATTTCTGTATCATTTTCTATATTTCAAAGGACAGTGGGAGGTAGACTTTGCCTTTCTGATTAATGCTGAAACCAGTTGACCAAGGTGCATTAAGATGACCGAAAGCAATCTTTCTACATAAATAATTCCCCACTTCTACTATAAAGTCACAGTAAAGTAGCAAGATTCTGATTATTACTAAAGCAATGTCTTAAAAATGTCTAGTAAAAAAATAATTTCTAACTTGGGGTTCTATGGTTTTTCCAACTTGGAGCAACCATACCTTTCTGGAGATCTACCTATCCGGGACCCAATTTACTTGAGAGGCTTTAAAGTCTCAAGGCTATTTTGTTTCAGGCGATCTGAGCTACAAACCCAAATCAAGGAGTGGGTTGAAGCTGTGGCACAGGTAGCAGACTTGTCTGAGTCAGACTGCTCTGCTGTCCCTCGCCCAGGGTGGGGAGAGAGCCTGAGGCTTCTGTTTCTTAACATGGAACCGCACACGTCCCGTCTCAGAATCCCCCAACTGGCTAGTGCACATGCAGACTGAAGTTCCACCTCAAAACCAACTAATTAACTTCTCTGGGAGTGGGTCCTGGGAATAAACATTGAACAACTATGGTCCCTGGAGCAGGAGCATCAGCTTCACGTGGGAACTTGTAATCAGTGTAAATTGTTGGGTCCTGGACATATCCTGCAGAAAGACCGAGGAAGAGGCCCAGGAACGTGTGTTTCAGTAAGTCCTCTTATAGCCTAACACTGAGAACCTGCGAATGTTGAAAGCCTTTACCTCAGGCACACAGAGCAATCTCAATACAAGCACCACGTGAAGTGGGGCGTTATCAAGGACTAGCATGTGAGGTACAGGCTGTAGGCCAGAGCAGATCTCTCTCCTTGACAAAAGGGCCTCTGGGGGATGAATTTTCAGAAGGACAGTTAGGGCCTATGCTAGGGGCTTGACACGCTTCAGAAAGGACATAGTTTATTATAACTTGATTCAAAAGCATCTGGTGGTGTTGTCATGGTAACTAATTGAATCCTTTTCTCAGGCATAATGGTGTCACCTGGAAATGTGCTGGGATTTGACCATGAAGTGTCCTTCCACTCTGAGGGCCTCTGCAAATGCCTTAAATTGCCCACTCAGTGCATCTTTCATCCTGCTGTCCTGGCATTTTGGGAGCTGGTACTACAGAGAGGAGCCTCATAATAGACTGAAGGCCCTGAGGTTAACTAGGGAGGGAGTTTTTAAAAAATATTCCTGCCCTGCCCTAACTGGTTTGGCTCAGTGGATAGAGCATCGGCCTGCGGACTGAAGGGTCCCAGGTTCGATTCCGGTCAAGGGCATGTACCTTGGTTGTGGGCACATCCCCAGTAGAGGCTGTGCAGGAGGCAGCTGATTGATGTTTCTCTCTCATTGATGTTTCTAACTCTCTATCCCTCTCCCTTCCTCTCTGTAAAAAATCAATAAAAAACATATATCAATATATATATATATATTTTTAAAAGAATGTTCCTGCCCAGCCCTAGCCAGTTTGGCTCAGTAGTTAGAGTGTCGGCCCACAGACTGAAGAGTATCCGGTTCAATTCCCATCAAGGGCATACACAGGTACCTTGGTTGCATGCTCAAACCTTGCCCCTAGTCTGGGCACGTGTAGGAGGTAACCAATCAATGTGTCTTGTGTCTTTCTCACCTTGATGTTTCTCTCTCTCTGTATCTTCCCCTTCCTTCCACGCTCTATAAAAATCTATGGAAAAAAATATCCTCAGGTGAGGATTAACAAAAACAACAATAACAACAAAAGAACATTCCTGCTCAGAATTTTTCCAGAATTCTCTGTACAAAATGCAATCTCCAGGAAGCGGAATTGTACATTGGCCTTTAGGTTGCATTTACAGCTAGCTACTGCACAATTAAAAATGCCAGCCTCATTAAGAACAGCCATGAAGTCCTTGGTGATGCATTCACTCACTGAGTAAATATCTATCCCATGCATATCATGGCCCAGCTCTGTGCCAGGCACATCGGTCAGTGGTTATGAGCATCTGCTCTGGCATCAGATAGTCTGCAACCCAATCCCGACTCCACCACTGGACTAGCTGTGAGGCCTCGAGCAAGTACCTAATCCTTCTTGTCTCAGTTCCATCCTCTAAAACAAAGGGGATAATGATGCTATCTATCTCTGACAACTGTTATGCTTTAAAAGAACTAACAACAGAGCTATAGAACAAGATCAATAATGGTAGCTGTTAGCAATAAGGATATTAATAAAATAAAAATGACAGATTTCATAAGTTCTCTTTTAGGCCACAAATGCTTTGCAGAAACTGCTTCCAGAATAGGGCCCCTCCCCTAGTGTGGACTGTAGTCTGTACTACCCGGCCAAAATAATTCCAGAAGGCACATTATACTGGTTCTTGCACCAGATTTAGGTAATGAGGTTTCTCAAAACAACAAATCCTCTCCAAAAAAGCATCTGAAATGTAAAGAAACCTCTTGCTTCACACTCCATCAACCTCTCTTCAGGGCCAGAGGAACTGAGCTTAGGCTTTACAAAGTGTTTTCTCCGCAGGGTCAACGTGTCTCTGCCATCCCATGGGGAAGTTGTGCTATCTAAAGGTCTCGGGAGGCAGGGTCCTGGACTCCAGCCAGGGCAGGGCGTCCACAAAATACCTCCAGCAGGATTCCCAACAGGCAATGCTCACTGCTTTGCTGTCTCTTTGGTTCCCAGATGTGACTTGGCGAGAAAGAGAGACTTACTGTGGTAATAAGGAGGCCTGAAGGTCTTATCAGCGACCCCCCATCGAGGTGGGAAGATGACAAAATCAGCGATGGCCACTCCAGGGCGGAGAGACTTGGCAGTCAATACTGTGAAAATGGACGGGTCCTGCAAAAGCACAAGGAGAGGCTGAGCAAAGAGGGAAGGGAGTGACTGGGTGAGGACACACATGGCTCCCTCACGAGAAGGGGTTTGGAGGGACACTCTAATTTCTGATCAAACCACACAGGCCAGGCTGAGAAGTCTGGGCTTGCCATCAAGGTGCAGTAATCACTCACCCGACCTTCCCCCCTTGCTGTGCTGGAAACAAAATGAATTAACACCAGCGAGGAGGATGCTGAGCTGCTTTTTCACCCTGCTGAGCCCATTTCACGTGAGTACTACCCAGTGGGCCTGAGAACCAGGCGTGCCTGCCTCCCAACCTGAAGTCAGGGTGACCAGAGCTGGGCTGAACTGCAGGGAGCTCTGGGTGGAAAGGATGCTCAGAGTAAGGTGGAGATAGAAATAAAATATCCAAGCTTTAGTACAAATGTAGGATCTGCTTCTCTTTGAGGGGGTGGGGGTCACAGAGACTCCAGATGGTATCCTTATTGCTTTCTGACCTTTTTTTTTTACTCTCAGATTTAAAACATACCACATACATCACTAGTTTGGGTGGTGACAGTGTAGAGGGGAGTAGGCTGAGGGACACTATACTAATTTTAAAAGAACAATCCTTCAGCAAAAAGATGGAGGTTCAGTTTAATTGAAATCAGGGATCCTGTTTGCTTTCAGATGCCATTCGGAGATGATTAAGAGCTATTCCCTGCCCCCTTTAGCATATTGGTGGAGGGGTGGGGTAGGTGACTAAAGGAGTAATAAAACAGGTGTATGAATGATTAATCACAGCAAGGTGCCAAGGGCAATCTGACTTTATAAAGAGAGACCCGAGGAAGGACAGAGGAAGGAGTCCTGTCTCTTCCTGACAGGATCAGGGAAGGCTTCAAAGAGGAGGTGACATTTGAGATCGATGCTGAAGAAGGAAAGGAGAAAGAGAGAGAAGAAAAGGAAGGAAGAAAAGAAGGAGGAAGGAGGGAAAAACGGAAAAGGTATTGCAAGCGTAGAAAATAGAAAAGGCATAAACATGCGCACAGGTTTTGTGAAGAGGAGAGAGGGGCAAGAGGTGGCACTGGCAAACAAGTCCATGGCCAGATGGTGAGGAGCCTCAGCACCCACTTCAGAGCTCAGACTTAATCCCCAGCCGCAGGGAGCCTGCAAAGGTTTGCTTCCTGCACTGGTGGAACTATAGGATCTGAATTCTGGAAAAGGAACTGCAGCAGCGGCGCTGAGGAGGCCGAACCTGGGCAAATGCAAGTCAAAACACCAACGCTCATTGCTGTGCATGCTAACACCTCCTCTGCCACGAGAAATGACCTGAAACCCTTAGCGAAAAGGCAGCGCGAGGCTCAAATAAAGCTCGGTCAGTCTCACAGGATCCTTTTTCATTTTGTTTTGGGCATGATGCCTCATTTTCTTTTTTATTTGGTTTTATTCAGAGTTGCTGCCATTCAGAGAGGTCTTTTTGTGCTTGCGCCCCCCGAGATAAGCAGCACTGGCTCAGAGTAATCTTTCGGTCTGTCTTTGGTTCTCTCCCTTCTGCTCTAATGATCCCTCCAGCTTGGGAATTAAGTTAATCTATTATGAGCGAGGCGACACACTGAGCTTCCCCCCAGGACTAGCACTTTATCAAGAATGTGGGGCCTCAGGGGCCTGCCCTGTGGACCCGGGGGCTATTTGTGGCCCCTTAACTGAGTGAAAAATACGACCAAGTTCTTAGTCTAGAATTTCCTTGGTTTGAATTCACAAGCACTAAACATATGAGTAACTTTAGAGTAGAGAGCCGTCGGCTCCCTCGCTGCTAGAAACAGCCAGGAGAGGAGACCCGGGAGTAGGCAGCCAGAGCAAATCGACTCTTGGCATTTGTGGGCAGGACAAAGAACTCGCCAAATCCGGAAATGTTTCTTTCTTATCACTCTATCGCTGTCACTAGCAGTTGGTTTTCTTTTGGGGATAAACTTTCCATAAAGAAAATTAATTTTCAGCCATCAACTGTGACGACTGTGTTAGAGAATGGAGCTGTGCTCACAGGCTGGGGGTCTGGCCCGGCTTCCTCACTCAGCTCTGCTATGGCTCCTTCACCAAAGCCTTGCTGCCAGTTGACTCAGATTCCTATGAGCACAGGGACCAGTGAGTGTATGTCCGCTTCCAAGGGTGACGCTGGAAATGTGAAATCTGTGCATGTAGGGGCTGCTGTAAACCCCTCTCACCCAAGGGTTCCCCCTTCCCCAAGGCCCTCCCGGGGCCAGACTTACTGCGTGGTCATAGGCCACCGCGTTGATGACCATGAAGTTCTCCAGGTTGTACTTGTAGGGGGTATAGTTCCCGTGCCAGGCCACGACGTTGAACGGGGAGACATTCTGGTTGCACAAGAAGCAGAAAAGGCGATCTTAGCACCTAATGCTTTTGTAGCTATGATGCCACTTTGTAGTTGGCATGACTCTCTCCTTTTGGGTTTGATTTTGTTCTTGTTATTTAATAATACCATCCTTGGGGAGAAGCATAACCCTGAATCATTCTGTGGCAGCTTCACACACACCCTCAAACTATCCCTCGTTTAGCCACTAGCCCCATTTTTTTTTTAGTTCGTAACTGCAGCTGCCTCTGGTCACGTGTGCAGCAACAGAAGCACAGCACATTCTCCAAGTAATGCCTTTTCAACAATTCTTAACGCAAATGTGAGAATCTGTGGATGCCAGCAACTCTCAGACCATCTGGGCTACTCCCTGGGTTATCCTCCAGGTTCTTGCTGCCCAGAGGAGTATCCAGGAGACACAGTGCCTGAGTGGTGAGTGCAGGAAGGAGAGAGGGTCTCTAGGAGTTCCAGCCCCAGAGACGCTAGGACTTGAGTTTTCAGAGCAACCCTAAGGTGATGCTTCTTGAGCCTGCCCTGGGGTGGGAGAGGATCGGTGTTTTGTTATGGGAAGGCTGCCCCACAGTAGATATGAGTCTTGGATGCTGACAATAGCATCCAATTCAGAATGTTCTAAAGACCACTGGAGAGACTGCTCACAGAGGTATGGCTAGTGTTAAGTGAGCTGACTGGAGGTGGGTGTTGTTGTTTCTGAGCCTAGGAATAGTGGGAAGACATCGCCACTCCTAGACCTGTGGAATAGGGGAAGAAAGTGGTAAGGACTCCAGCAAGAGCTAAAAACAAAACATGGAAAAGGGGCTTCCCAGTGGTGGGTTGATAAATATTTTACAAATGGCAATCTTGGAAAAAAAATTTAAAACTCTGATGGATAGCATTTGGTGATTTCTGGGGTATAAATACTCTCACCAGGATCATTTTTGAGCGACTCATGTGTTGTCATTAAGCACAAAGCTGGGAAGCGGTGACAAACCAATATAAGCTGGCTCCAGCATACCACTGGGGCTACCCAGCATGAACTGAGATTGTGAAGGGCTGCAAACACAAGAAGTAGGAAGCAGGGGGAAGAAAAACTTCAATATCCAGGGCATCATTGAGGGGGGGGAAAAAGAGGGACATCTGTAATACTTTTAACAATAAAGATAAATTAAAAACAGAGAAAAAAGCCAACTGCCTTCCAGTTTCCTATGAGAGCCTCTTAGTAGTTGAACCCAACCAAAAGTCAGTGGGATAGGAAGCCTGGTGATAGAGTCCATGTAGGTCAAGCTCCCAGGGCCCAGATCATGGCAGAGAAGGGAGAATGGATCAGAGGGAACTCACACAGAGAATAATCAGCATAGGGTCCACTTGGAAAGAGGAAACTATTGGGGCTGCTGGTTGCCTTTAGAATGATGGTTCTTTATCAACTGTATGTCAATAATAATAGGGAGGACATGCTTAAAACAAAGAGTTCCACACCCCATTCTCAGAGGTTAATGTTTTTGTGTTTTAAAGAAGCCTCCCTGATAATTTCTGATGCAAATGGTCTCTAAACCACTCAGAGAAGAAGAGGGTGACAATGTGTCAATGAGGGTAACCATTAGCCCTCAGGAGTTAATTTTTAAGTGCCAAACTAGTTGGCCTCTTCTGGTTAACATACCTTCTTGATGTTGTCCAATAATATGCCTTGGCAAAATGTAAGCAACAAGTCAAATGTGCAAAAATAAAGCAAACAAATAATGGTAGAAAAGATCTTAGATTATGTTTGTTATATGATCACTTTAGGCTAATATATATTCAGTGTATTAAGTAATAATATAATATATGCTAATTATATACTACATGTTATACAAAATATATACTAATATTCGCATGTTATATTATAAATTACATATTATGTTACAATTGTTATTTATTTATTTTTATTGGTTTAGAGATGAAGGAAGGGATAGAGAAACATAAATGTGAGAGATACAGTGATAGACAATTGTTATTTTTATTATTATCTATGCCTTTGTTTATCTCTTGAGTTTACCAGGCAGGTGGTATAAACTAAATCAAGCTAATTAACTGAGTTTACTTGTTTTGTATGGTTATTAATAGTATTTGAAATATGGTGGCCATTGATGAATATAAATCTTGGATGATCTGCCTATTAACTCATTTTCCTTTTAGAACATATTACCCTGTCTGTACATTGTTTTCCCCACCATTTATATCCCCATGATTTACATTACTTGGTGAATGGAAAGAACATGTACAACAGATATGGTTCTACATTTTACTGTGACATTTGATAAATTATTTGTCACTACCTGGCTTGTTTTCATGGCTGCAAATAAGGCAAACACTATTTTATTTGTAGTATCTTAGTGGTGTAAAGCTGAAGAAATATGATATGTGTATTTAACACTGGCCTTGGCAATAAGTAGGTGCTCACTCCCTCCACTGCCTACTGACCCTCTTTACCTGTTTGGCAGCGAACAGCTTTCCTTGGTATTTATTAATCACAGTGTAACCACCTGGCACTTGACGATCTTCATACCAGGCAACAGGTATCAAGAAATCACGAGGATTGGCCAAGCCATTGGCTCCTAGAAGACAATGACCCATAGCCTTTTAGACACTTTCAAAGTCACTTAGGAAAGATGCTCATGGTTGCACAAAGCAAAAGGGCTTTCTACGTCAAGAGCCACCCTTTGAACAACAAGCTTTCGTTGTTCAAAGGCTCAATGGACTCCCAGTAGGGTACCTTTTTAAGACGACCCAAAGAATTTGATCCAGAAAAATAAATCATGAAAGTCATCATCTTCATTGTCAGCATCATCTCCCAAAATTTTAGAGTGAATGTGGTTTATAAAATCACTTACATACATTATTCCATCACTACAGGTGAAGGGAAGAGTGAGGAGAAGAGACTAGAAAAGAGGAAAAGGGAAGATCTGATAGAAATACTAGATTTTTTTTTTTTCCAAGAAAACCCTGATGACTCTAAAACTCATCTATAGTCTTTGAGAAAGAAAGGGTTCCATGCTGGTGGCCCAGGTGTGCCATTGCTCCGCAGACAGAGCTCAGAATAAATCAAGGTCTGGAAAACTGCTCTCCAGCCTGACAAGCCTGTCAGGAAGAAAGGATTTGGGACTTGCTTACTTACCTTTGCTTGGCAAGTGTTCCCTCCAGAGAAGAATAAATAAATCAAAAGACCAAAAATGAAAAGTATAAGTGCAAAAACTTAATTTAACTCTGAGAAGAGAGACCTGCGGAGTGTTTTATAGTTTCTAGCCCCTGGGGTTAAAAAAAAAAAAAAAAAAAAGGGCCCCAGCTGGTTAGAAAATTATATGTATTTTCAGGAGGGCACATGTTCCATAGAACCTGGAGGCTATGCTCACAGCAGAGCAGCAGGAAGCCAGACCAAAGTGGGAAGAGCGGGCGGTGAGCAGGATGACAGACGGCTCACCATGGCTCCAGCTGCCTCCCTGCTGCCTCCCACCTTCCTCTGACTGGTTCCTCCCAGAGGAGTGTCCAGAAGGCACATGCTGGCCTGTCCCTGCTTGGCTCTAAAAAAGCTGCTAACAAAAAAAGGGAAGCATTGGGAGGTGTGGCCACCACCTTCAGCAAACATGCCAAAGACGAAACTAAGGGCCAATTTTTCCAACTACTCTTTTCACTCCAAAAGATGTTTTTTAGAACAACCCCTCCTACCGCCTCCAATTCTTTCCTGCATTTCCTGCCTCCAGCTGGCCAGGAAAATCAGGAGTGGGGCATCTTAGTTCACTTTTGAATGTTTTAATGTGCCTCAAGGAGGCTGTGGTTTCTAGCTTCTACATAGCACTGAGTGATGTACCCTTTTTGACTGTTAAGTGTTTAGATTTTGTGGAGTGTGTTCAGCAGGAATGTGAGATTCATAGACTACGTGTCTCTGTCTGTTTCCTCTTTCCATAGGAATATAGCACCTGCCATTGTTATGGCTTCCACCCTTTACTGTTTCCACACAACCAATAAACTCAAGACAATGATATAACTTCTAGTCACAAAGCTCTTTTCCATTTGTATTGCATAAGCTGTTCCCTGTCTTTTTTTTTATTTTTTATTTTCCTTCATCTTTTCAACAAGAATTACCTAAAGGTCATCTCTTCTGTGAAGCTGTTCTTGGTGACTTGGCTCAATGTGTCCCAACTTCTACCTCCAATAGAGTGTATGTACCTACACTGCTCTCCAATGGCCTGTGTACTGTTATAGGGAGAAATTTATAATGGATTATATTGGGTCATTTTCTGTTACGCACGTTATTCATGTATGGGAAGAGGTTTGTGTTACGCTCGATGAGGTTTCTGTCATCATCTTCAGCACAAATGGGAGTTGAAACAAACTGGTGGGTTAATACACCGATGAGCTAGTAAGTGAAGGTTCCATTTCAGCAGCTGGATCAGTGATACTACACGGAGCCCCTGAACTTAGAGGTTTAAAAAGAAAGTCTGGCATCACTCATGGAGTTTCAGGGGGCTTCTGAAATTCCCCAACTATACTTGGTCTAGAGAAGAAGTTGTCTAGAGGAAAGTTAAAGTTTGAGTGAGGTAATGAGGGGAGAAGAATGTTTAACTCTCATGCAGTTATTTGTGTCCTATATGTCAAACCAGGCTTAGAGGCCTGTGGGGGAGACTCACCAATTGGTCCCAGGTCAGGCAGCTCAAAGTGGACACCGTAGACCTCCAGGATGTAGCCTCTGGTCTCCTCGAACACATCTACGCTGAACCGCATCCCTCTCTGGAATGAGAAGCAGACACTCATGTGCCCTCCCAGACCACACATCTATATACCTAAATGCCTAAGTGACCGAAGGACCAAATGACCCATCACTATGATGAGCACTGACCACCGGGGGGCAGATGCTCAATGCAGGAGCTGCTCCTTGGTGGTCAGTTCGGTCCCACAGCGGGAGTGCCGCTCAGCTGACCAATGGGTGCCAGATGCAGGGTTCACAGCTGGCTGCCACAGCACGGAAATGGGGAGACCGCAGCGAAGTGGCAGCCGTGGCAGGTGCAGCAAGGCTGGGATGAGTAGGAGCAGCAGGCCGGAGCGGCAGGCAGGGTTGGACTGCTGGTTTCGGCCCTATCCCCGCAGGCCACACCGAGGGACCCCACAGATACATAACCCGTGCAGCAGGCCTCTAGGTTAGTTGAAAAAAAGCTCCAGAGCCTCAGCCAACACCACATGCACAAGCTATAGTCTGCCGAACTAGGTCTGAGAGACAACCAACTCAAAGATGAGTTAGAAATAAAAAAATGTAAATCCTAATCACATCTGTGACCCAAACCAACTCTAGTGTATTATCTTATTTGGTTCAGAGATAACAGTGCCCTGATGTAGCAAACATTTTCAGAAATCTGTCTTCACTGCCCTCCACCCACATCCCTGGCCTTATCCAGAGTGTGAGTAGATATTCGGGAAGGTGAACTGACAGTGCTCTTTGCTTTGGGGTTGTGTGCTATTTTAAAACAAAGCAAACACCCCAAGCCTGCTCATCCTTCTGCACAGGGAGCCTTCTGGGTAACTCAACCTCCCTCCCCATTGCCCAGACATGACAGAGAAATTTTAGAGTTGGAAATAGCAGCAGCTGCAGCATCTGATTGCTCCCAAATTAGGGAGAGGCAGAGAGAGGGGACACATTACTCACCTGAATGACGCAGATCTCATTGGGCTGCACCATCATCTTGCCAAACTCGGTGTAAATGAGAAGTTTCCCTTTCTGGGGAACTAACCAAAAAGACAGGGCGGCAGTGAGTCTCTCTTTTAATGGAAGAACCACTTCATGAAGAGTCAGAAGCTTAAGGACTACATTTGCTTTTTCATTCCCAACGAACAGAACTTTATTAAGTCCCAAAGGGAAAATTTTATGACAATCTAGGTTACCTATTTTATTATCTAGAAGAAGGCGCATGAAAAAATGGACTCTGTTTTTGGGGGTTCTTTTTTTAGTTGTCAAGTAAGGATCTTGACTGTGCACAATTCTGAGGATTGACCAAAAAGGGCAACTGAAATAGGATAGAAAGTCACCTATTTTTGATACTTCCAGCAGAAGGCTATTATTTGCATCTCTAATGTCTACACCAAAATGTCCACTGCAAAATATTTATACCAAAGCCATCAAAAAGAAGGGGCAGACCAGATAAAGTCCTAATTGACATTCCAGTTTAAGGGCTGTCATGAAAATCTGTATTTAAATTATAGTTATCAATGACAGATAGCTTTTACTTGCGTGGTGAGTATGAAGGCAAATAGAGTTATCTTAATAAGTTAACATCATTTTGGTATTACTCTTCATTTCTTTTCAGCTGCTCAGATCTCCCATATTAGAAGGACCCAATAGAAAAGGGCAAAATCAGAGAGACCAGAACCTAGAGTAAGGGCTTTGAGGTACAAGAGGAATCTTTTCCAGACCTCCAATTGTCTTTAGACCTTAGTTTTCAGATTCCACTAAAAAAGACAGATTGAAGGATGACAGAAAATAATATGTATAAAATTAAAAAGAAGCTTATGACTAGGGCTAAATTCATAGCGAAGGAGCCTAAATCTTCAAAACTTACCAATCAAGAAGTCCCCGTCTGAATTGTAAAAGCATCTGAAACATAGAACCATTCCTGTGATTTCCTGTTTTAACATCACCCAGACAAATTAATTCACTGCCCAAATTATTGTTTAGTACCTACGCTGCCAGATTTAGTACTGGGTATAAAATGGTGTGCAAAATTATCAATCTCTGCCCTCATGAAGCTTAGGGTCTAGTAGGAAGTCAGACAGCAATCAAACAGAACTCTGTCATCGTAAACTGTAACGGCACTATGAAAGTTAAGCCCAGGGAAATGAAAAAATAATGCACATGATCTAGCTTGAGGACTCAGCACGAGCTTCCTTGAAAGGGGGACATTTGCTGAAAGGCATATGAATCAGTTGGTAGTGAGCTTCTTTCTGAGCCACCAGTTCTTTTGAGACCCAATTTTAGCATAACGATTATTGCTTGTCTCATTTTTGATTCTTATAAGTTTATTTCCAGTAGGACATGATCTCACTCATCTAAGGGTAATGGTGAACAACATAGACTGATAACAAGAACAGACCCAGAGATAAGGAGCCATGGGGCAGACTGTTGGACCTCAAAGAGAGGGTGGGGATAAAAGGGAGAGATCAACCAAAGGACTTATGTGCACACATATGAGCCTAACCAGTGGTCAAGGACAATAGGAGGGTGGGGGCATGAGTGGGGGTGGGGGGTAGGGGATAGGGGGTTGGGGTCAGATATGTGATACCTTAATCAATAAAGAAATTAATTAAAAATTAATTAATTAATTAATTAATTTTTAAAAAGAAAGGGGGACATTTGACTTGTGATCTGAAGGAATCTTCTAGGCAAGGGTTTAAGGAGGGAGAAGACTATCCCAGGCAGAAGGAACAGTATGTGCAAATGCTTTGAGGCAGGAGGACACATGACAGGTGGAAAGAACTGAATGAAGGCTAATGTGGCTCAAGTGGGGAAGGAGGAGGTGCCTGATATGAGCTGGACCCAAAGGGACATCTCCTGTGCCTTGTCGTATGGCTTTGGTCTTGGACCTGATTCATGGCTCAGAGAAGTTAAATGAAGTCTTGCCCAAGGTCACTCAGGAAGAGTAGAATTGCCTTTGGACACAGTGGTCTGGTTCAAGAATGGTTCTGATATTCTGCTTCCCAAAGGAAAGGCAGGAAGGCCATTCCCGTACTTTTCTGATTAAAAAAAAAAATCCAATATCAAAGCTCCTCTATTTAAAAATTTTAAGCTTACAAAGTTGATAGCTGAAGCCAAAAGTCTGTCTGCTTCACCTGCCACCTACAGGTGATCCTAATGGCTGACCATGCTTCATGACTTTGGACTCAAGAACAGTCCTGGGAACCTTAAGAAATTAAGAATATTATAACTAAAATCTGGTTAAAGACAAAATGCTTCTTGGACTACTACTGCTTTCCAGTGCCCTGTTATGACTTTTCTATTTGCATTGTTATGTGACATTCTTGTTTATGTCACAGGAGTCTATCAAGATGAAAATACGCATTTATTGTCATTATTAATAACTGCATGTCAACATTGCTCTGGAGAAGAAACAATAACAAAAAACAAACAAAACAAAAAACAAAAAACAAACAAACAAAAAACCCAACCCAGATTTTACGCCCTGGTCAAAGCAGCTTTTGGGGAAAGGAGATGTCCTACGGAGTCACTTACCTGTCCCCCATGGAGGTGTTGCAGAGGAAAATGTGGACAGCAAGCCCATTGTTAGACCTGATGTCTCCAGCTCCACATAAGGTGTGCAGGCCCTGGGAGAGACCCGAAGGAGAAGGAAGAGTGAACGTGAATAGTGCCTAAGAGGCTACCCTCCTCCTGGCACCCGAGGACCATGAGGCAAGATTCTAGTACAAGCGTCTTCCTTTTGGGGCCAGTGGGACATTCGGGATCCCGGTTACCTATGGGTAGATGGTGGTTCATCTTCATTACCTGCCATGGCCCTAGCTTTGGATTGTCTTAATTGCTGCATCAGATGAACTTACAGAGCATCAATTGATTAGAGCATTTTTATCATTTTTGTACTTAGGTCAACCTGAAGGAAAGTTTCTATTGGAGGTAAAATCAGGTATCCAGGAGGCTTTGGGAAGAAGACTGCACCATTAGGGACCAGTTAATGCCCCTGAAATACACCAGGCCACTCCTCTGCTTAGGAATAGGGTCAGCACTAATGTCTCCAGAGCAAGGCAAAGGGAAGCACTCGGACCAACGGTCACCCTCTGCTGATCATCCTCAGCCCAAGGAACTGTAACATTCAGGCCATCTAAAGCTGCCTCAGCCCCAAGCCTGTACAGTGAGAGCGTTCTGTTCCTCCAGATATCCATGATTCACACAGGGTGGAAGACTTCTTTTTGTATTTTAATTCAATTTCCAAGTTTGGGGGCTATGTAGATGAGTCTACGTAGGGTTTGGAGCGTTTAATATGAGTGAGGAGGTCAACATGATACACACAGTCTGGCCGATGGCTGGACACCGGGACTCGCCCTGTGTAAACCGCGACCTGGGGTTGGTCTGCAGCATCTCCCACTGGCTTTTTTGAGCCCCAGCTCCTCACAGCTCCTCTCTTCCTCCCCGATACACGTTGCTCTGAGAGCAGGTGTTCCTATACTCTCAGCACCTATTATTACCAAGCAGAACTTCTAAGCAGCATTGTCCTAACCAGAATTGCTGGCCTGCATTGATCCTATTCAGGGGCTCATTTTGGAGAGTTTCTGAATTTGGATGGGGGAAAAAAAATCATATATTTTCACTAATCTATGACTAAAATTGATCATTTCTCTCAATTAATGTGGACATAAGCAACAAACTACAGCTATAACCTTGACAACTGATAGAAACCATGGATAATTTTACATTATGTTAGAGTTGTTACAGATATCCCAAAATATCATTTATACTCATACTTCTATAATAACCAGAGTTATTAGATCTTCTCATAAATTTTGTGATTTAGTGCATTAATAAGGAAGCATGCTTATTACTATAGACCAAACCTAATTTATTTTAATATTTTCATCATTGCATTTCAATGTAATCGGCTTCTTTGTCATTTTATGTAATTTATTTTATGCATTTAAGAGCACAGGCTTCACCAGACTATCAAAGGAATCTTTGTTCCCCAAAACAAAGGAACCTGGGAAGGTAAAAGCTCCATTTCCATTGGCTGTTGGGAGATGTTGTAAATAGCCCTCCAGTGCCCTTTGGTGTCATGGGGGAGATGGTGCCGGTAAGTAAGACATCAATGGGCAGTGCCGAAAGCTTAGGCAGATGGTGCTGTGCCGGCTGCCCGCCTCTGAGGCTGCTTGGGCCTGGCATTCAGCCCGCAAATGGCTGGATCGCACAGCAGAAGAGAGAAGGAGCAGTGGGAAGGTGTGGGCAGCGTTGACTTACACTCACAAAGTCCACCTTCTTCTGAGATGCTTTTGGAATCTCAAATGGTTTCCATCTTAGCTGGAAAAAAACACACATACAGGAATATGATTTCACAAGGGGAAGCTATAGACTTTCTAAATAAAAAGCACCGGTTACACAGAAAAAGGACAGCTGCTCCCTGCAAGGTTCTGACTCCTTGTGATTTTGTTATTTTAGATTTAATAATTATCCATCATTTCCTTAAAGGGGCTCAGTTGGTGTGTGTGTGTGGTGTTTAATTCATATGCATATATATTGTCTTCGTTCATTATTAGCACTTTGAATTATATTTCTTTTTTAAAGACCATTGCTTCTTATTTCAGAGACTGTTTATTTCTTTCAGCATTTTGCTCAGGCACACCAGTGAGTTTTGACCGATGCTGCTTCTAATGCTATTTATAATCCGCTCCCTTTGCTGGCGCGCCAGCCTCTCTGTGTGGGCCCCGGACACTGCAGGAGAAGGTTCCGCTTCTCCTGCCAGCCCTTGGAGTTTTGAATTATTTCTTGAAGCGAAAGAAAAAGCACCCAGCTGAGATTGAACTGAGATTGAATTTGGTAAAGGCAGTACCAGGTTCAATTTTTTTTCACCAAACCCCACGTTTGTCCCCAGGCTGCCTGACAGTTCAGTTTAAATCACAATAATCTTTAATTTAATAATGAAATGATCTAAGGGAGTGGGGAGAAAAATCAGCAGGCCCAGGCCCTACTCAAAGAGTCAGCCCCACACTTATCAATCAGTCTGGCAGCAGGCCTGACCCAGCCAGGCTGGCAGTTGATAAACCTAGCAGTCTCGGGCCACTTCGTGGGGTGAACTGCTCCCCAAGGAATGGCTCCACCAACTAGGTAGGGCCCATTAAGTCACTGGGCTCAGCTCATTCTGTATTTCAGAGTTGGGGGTGGGGGGAAGGGAAAGCAAGCAGCAAATGGAAAGGCAGCGCTGGCATTATTCCGGCCTCTCGGATATACACAGTCACACGGCAGCCTTTATTTCTTAAAAGCAACACAGATGATCTCATTTTGGGACTACGTAAAAGAAATGTAAAATGTTGATTTGAGGAACGTTGTTGAAGTCATGCTTCAGAAAGAAGGAAAATATTTAGGACTAATTCATTCAAGATGATATTTCCTGGGAAAAGAGAGGAAACCTGAGAACAAAGATCTAGAAAGGGTTTTTCAACCTTGGCACTATTGACGTTTTGCAGCGAATAATTCTCTGTTGTGAGGGGCTGTCCTATGCATCATAGGATGTTTAACAGCATCCCTGACCTCTCCTCACTAGACGCAGTGGCAATCTCTTAAATTATAACCATCCAAAGTGTCTGCATTGTTAAATGTCACCTGGGGGACAACTTTCCCTTGTTTGAGAGCCATTGAGCTAGGAGGATAGTCCCCTGACATTAGGAAGGATCACAGCAAAGCACTTCAATAGGGCTCACATCCTGCATGAGCCGTGGCCTCGAAGAAGCTTTCTTAATGCAAAGAGGGATGCCCTTCAAATGACAGAGGCGGTATAGGGAGAGGAGTAATTCATCTGCAGGATCTGATGGCAGCGGATTGTACAGGGTCCAAATTCAGCCTATCATGAAGGATAATAAAGACTGCAAGGTGCTTCTATCAAACCCAGTACCCAGAAGAAGAAGCGGGCTTTGTACCTTCTGGTTAGGAGCTTTGGTGTGATGTGCTGCTGAATGTAAGGAGGGAGATCTGGGGAAAGGATAAAAAAGAAAAGTCCATGGAGTAAAGGATAGAACCATCTGCTAACTCCAGATGTTCAACTTAATTGCCTGCTGTGGGGCAATTACCCCCTGACCCAAAGGGGGCCGTGCACTGGGCTGAGCCAGGAGACCTGAGCTCTGTTACTGCCTCTGTTCCCATTTACTCTGTAAGCTCAGGCACGTTATTTCCTCTCCCTGGATTGTGTTTTTTCTTACATGTAAGAAAAACTATAAACCCATAATTCACTTCAGAAAAGAGCTTCTGAAAGTAATAAAGGGGATTTTTTTTTACCTGATTTAGTCCTATAACTTTTTAAAAATAGATATATTTTATTGATTTTAACAGAGAGGAAGGGAGAGGGAGAGAGAGTTAGAAACATCGATGAGAGAGGAACATTGATCAGCTGCCTCCTCCACACCTCCTATTGGGGATATGTCCAAAACCAAGGTATATGCCCTTGACCAGAATCGAACTTGGAACCTTTTAGTCTGTAGTCCAATGCTCTATCCACTGAGCCAAACCGGCTAGGCAGTCCTATAACTTTTTAATCATTTATTTTACTCTTACTATATATTATTGATAAATAGCCTTCTATTTATCAATATAATAATTTAATAATTAAGAACTTAATTATTAAACATTTAAAAATAATGAAATCCATTGTAGAACCCAATGCAATGTCTTGATACTAATAGATTTTAATAAATTTGTGGTGAATGGTTGAATGCATAAATATAAGGAACTGAGAACATTGCTAATATCTCAAAGAACAAGAATAAAGTAAATTTACGAGATTTTTGGAAGTCAAAATGACATTCAGGCAATAGTAAATTGATAAATGTTTCTAAAAGTACAACGATTATTTCTAAAACATAAGTTGATTCTTTATAAATATAAAAACTCATCCATTCTTTCACATCCCTTTTCATTTTTTGGCCAGTTCTATCAACTCTTGGGAGAGAGGTGTTGACATCTCCAACTATAACTGGGGATTCATCTAATTCTCCTTTCAGTTCTCCTATCATTGTTTCATTTATGTTGCAGCTATATTCTATAAGTTTTATTGGAAAATAAACTCTTCTTACTATAGAAATGAGGTGATCAAAAATAATTTGAGGGAGTCCAAAGTTAGAATAAAATTTTTTTTAAGATTGCCAAAGAAGAAAGACTGGAATCAGTGGCAACATTTAGTTATCAAGATTTGAAATTCATGCCCAGGGAGAAAAAGAAAACAAGAGAATTGACCTCAGTTATTTTGAGTCAGAAGATCAGTAGTTGGACTGGATGATTCAAATATACTTTTCAACCCCAAGATTCTTTGATTTACTGAGATTCACTACAAAATTGCCCAGGACTTTAGATAAAGTGAGTGAGATCCTCTCAACACCATTGGGTGGCTAGAGATAGACAGACATATCGTTAGAAGTTGGTATCACTACCCAAGAGGTTGGAAGTAACTTGTAGATATAGAGTACTTACGCTGTGTCAGCCCTGCTATGGCTAACAGAGGCCTAGGGTAATCCACTACAGTGAATTTTAGTCCCAAATAGGAAAGGTGGCAGGGGCCAGGGTGTGGGGGCTGGGGACTGAATAAAACAGTAACTCACTGAATGCCTCAGCAATTTGAGGGAAAAGGTAGCATGATTGATGTGGAAGAAAAATCAGGCTTTGAGTTCTTTGGAATTCTTTTGAGTAATAGACAAGAGCACAAGTAAGGAGGATGCAAGTCACTGTACTTTATTTAGGCTTTCAAAGTCTATCGTGAGGCTACAAAAGAGGCGGGCCTTCATGGGATTTGGATAACATTTTTTCATGGAAAAAAAAAATCCAACGAAGAAAAGCTGGATTCCCATTTGGCCTTGCCCTTGAGTATAAAGCTAAGGGCATTAAATCCATTACTCAACACCCAGCACAGAGCATGAAACATAGTGGCCACTTAATAAATATTTGTTGGATGACATTTAATTATCACATCTCTGAGAGACTCTTATGATTATTATTGTCTCTGTTTTATTTTAAAATATATTTATTTTATTGATTTCAGAGAGGAAGGGAGAGGGACAGAGAGATGGAAATATCCATGATGAGAGAGAATCATTGATCAGCTGCCTCCTGCATGCCCCCTTCTGGGGATAGAGCCAGCCACCTGAGCATGTGCCCTTGACTGGTATCACACCTGGAACCCTTCAGTCCACAGGCTGACACTCTATTCACTGAGCCAAACCAACTAGGGCTATTGTCTCTATTTTAGAAGTGAAAACACAGATGGTGTAGACCAAGTAATATTTTTCTTCTAAAATCTGATGTCAGTACTCTCAGACTCTCTTAGTAACCTACATCCTAATCCCTTTACTTTCAGGTTGTCTTGATATGCTTCCCAAACTATTCATGATCTCCTTGGCTCCTGAACCCAGGCTTTGCCTCCTTTTAATGGCCTTGTGCTGGGTCTTCCAATCTGCCCTTATTTACGCTCTTCCTGTGCCACGTTGTCCTGGCCCAGTCTGTCTTTTGGGACCTGAATCCTGCTGAGGTCCTTTCGTGTCAATGTTTTTTGTGCAGTCATTTTACATTAATTCATTCAAATGATTTATTGAACCTCTCTGAGTGCCAAGTTTTATGCTAAGTTCTGGAGATAAACAGGGAGTACAGTCTCTATCCCCCCGGGAACCTATTACAGAAGATCCTGGCACTGTGGACACTTTCTGATAGGAAAACAAGGAAGTGGATAAGTAGAAATGACTTTGGAAGAGAAACATAAACAGAAATGTTCCCCTCAGGAATAAGTCCTGACACAGGGCCCATTTAATATTCTTACACACGGAAAATAAGAGGCAGACACAATGAAATACCTGTAATCTGGTTTGCAGACAGCTCCAGCCTCTTTCTAAGGAGTAAAATACAAGTTGATGGAGATGTACTGGTAAAAGAGCTAACAAGCCATCTAAAAGGACTGAACAGGGCAAGGTGCACTGCAGTGATGGCAAACGCCCGTGAGTGCATTTAGGGAAATGAAATCTATTTTATTTACAGGCTGATGGGATCCAAGCTATCAGGCAGTATCGTCAACAAATTCTAGCCATTCTGTTTTAAAAGAAGGCATATGCTGGACCCTGCAGGTCTATGAAGACAATGAAGGCATAGTTCTCAGAGTGTGAGAGGGCTGGAGTCTGGGAAAAACTGGTGGAAGGAGATTTTAAAAAGTTACCTTGTGGCCCATATAGTGGGTCTTCTTAATTTTTTTCAGGAGAAACAAGTGAAGCTTGAAATTATTTTAAATTATTTTTGGTCTCTGGCTGCATGGGGCCCTGGACCTTATTTATTTA